AAGGCCCACCCAGTTTCCCACCCACCCCAGGTCCCGAATGTGGGGTATGCTCCGAGGTTCTTGCTCAAGTGGTTTTGATAGTTCACCAGTTATGAATCTCTGCCAATCTTGCCACTCCAAGCACGATGAGGTCGTTGAAGAATCCACCTATTGACATAATCCATCATAGAGTCTCCGTTTGCCCAGTATTTGACTGCCAACATATAGCTGAGGTGGTTGATTGACTTGTTCTATCTTCTGTCTTTTCTTGGTAAGGGTTCCGAGTCCAGCATTTCGATTGGTAATATCCCCAAAGAAACTTTGAGGTTTTCCCAGACCAGATTCTTGAATGTACAAGCAAGCACAGGGCCCAGCACAGTCCATCACCCCATCAGCTGGTGGTTGCAATTGCTGGGTTGGTTCTGTTTTCAGCCCCGACTTCCACTGGAACCAATGGGTGCTGCAGTCCAGCCTGGTGCTGCCCAGCACATACTTGGCCCTCACATAAACCAGTGGGAGCTGCAGCCTAGTCAGAGCGACCCACAATAACCCCACCCCCAGGCCCACCCCCTACCCTGGTTTGCCAGTATGTGAAGCAGACTAGTCCAGTCTGTCCCACATCCCATTTGGCTCTTGTACATGTCAATGGGTATTAAAGCTTAGTTCCATCTAACCAGCTCAACTATCCAGCCCCCATGGATGCTGTTGGGTGCCTCTCTGTCTAGCCACCCTGTCCCTGTCCTAGTTTTCATGCCCTCCCGTGGGAGTGGTAACCGAGGAGGGAGGAGCCCACTATTTCCGTCCCAGGCCTTCTCTACTCCCGGATTATGCACTCTTCAGGTGGTTCTGTGATTTGACTTGACAGAATTAGCCCCCAGTGCCAGCTTCTGCCAGCTGATGCTGTGGCTAAGCCCAAACAACCCTAGCTTGGCATGACATGTGCTCCAGCCTGGTTTCTAGTTTCGCTTGTGGGCTAAGGTTTGCTCAGTCCTGCCCGGTACACCCCATTTCATTACCAATTAACACATTAGTCAGCTGTTGGAGCTACTTTGGCCAGCTTGTCCGACCCCTAGGTCTGGACCACATGTTCACCAGCAGGAGGTATGACTCACCAGGGGAGCTTCCCAAGTTCCTCCACTTGATCCACTCTAAGATCCAGTTCTCATCATGCCTTGGGTTTTAGGTCAGTGCCCAGCAGTCTGGCCTACCATTTGGCCATGTATGAGCTGGTGAACATTGCAGCCCAGCCCACCCCACACCCTATTCAGGATGCACATTTGGGTGCTGCTGCCTTGACCAGTCCAGACTGTTGTCAATTCCTTTACCTGTGAGTGATGGTAGGCTCCTTGGTCACACCTAGCTTAGTCCATCAGCATCCCAGCTCTTGAGCTAACCGGTGGGGCTAGAATTTCCAAGGGTTTGGCCCACATAATAGGGTTTGGCCCACAGAATCTACCCCCGTATATGGTTCTCAAGTGCTAATTATTGTCACAGCCCTGTCTAATGTGACCCATCTCCTGATCCATCATCATGTCAGGTAATAGGATATAATTTTGCTGTACAAGCCCTGAGCCTTAGCTTTTGCATGGACTGGTGTTCGGTGGTCAGCATTGTTCAGTGATTACAAGCTCTTCAAAGGAAGAGTTACTGCCATTGGGAATCTTTAGGATTGATTCATATCCCAGAAGCACAGTGGGTTCAACCTGGAGCTACCTAAGCAGGGATTCAAAGAACCACACACCAGAGCTCCTGGCTGGGCAACCAGCAGACAGAGCCTAGAGTCAAATGACGCACTGGTCGCCGGGGGACAGTTTACCACGTGCACGTAGTGGCTGGCGTCTGGGATCCGGGCATGAGACACCCCAACCTGAGACCCACCCACAGCCAGCAGGTTGCAGGAAGTTTAAACCCCCAAGCCCAAGGTCGCACCCCTCCCTAATCCCATCCACAGCTCAATGAAGGCGGCAGGTGGGCCCTGGCCCTGATCCCAGCCTGCCCAGCCCCAGAGATTTCCCCGTTGGTGTACTCACCCTGAAGGGAACAGCCCCCAGAGCCCGGGCAGTCCCGGGGACAGCTTACCACGTGCATGTGGTGGCTGGCATCAGAGATCCGGGCATGAGATGCCCTGGCCTGAGACCCACCAGCAGCCGACTATTTTCTCGGATTTTCAAGATAGAAAAAGCCCACTAGCTGAGATCAGGGATAATAATCTGACCTCTCCAGAGACCCTGAAGAAGCTCCTGGCTCCTCGCTTGGGCCTAGCCCAGCTTTGGCCATTGTGGCCATCTGGGGAGTGAATCAGAGATGGAAGAGGGAATATCTAATTCAAACTCCTCTTTCTGTGTTTGATGAAATGGAGACCCTGAGGGGTTAACTGTTGCCCCAGAGGGACCCACGAGTTAGGGATGAATAGAGACTATTGCCTATGACCCTGACATCCAGTTACCTTTGCCTCATTTAAGTTAGTATCACTTCCTCACCGTTCATCTCAGCAGTGCAACTTAACAAGAGGTAGACACAGGGCAACCCAGGAACAGCATTCCCCACCAACTACTCCTGTCTCATCTGTGAGCTACTTCATAGTAATTCTTCTCTATTTCTTACAGACTATATACATATATTGTTTGTTCATGCTTCAAATTGAACAAATTCAGGAATGCTTTGAAACTGTTAAAATGTTAGCATTTACTACCAGTTGTGTACCATAAGAAACAAGAATACAAGTTCAGCAGTGGTTAAGGTAAGTGTGTTGAGTGTTAACATTCCAAAATCTATGAAGATTATTTCATTTCTTTACCTGACATTGAAAACAAAGATCACTAAAATCTTTAATGGCTGATATTCTCGATGTACAACAATTATTTGAACACTTAGCACACCCAATGCTCTCTGAATCACCTTTTTAAAAATTTTATTTTACCCTTCCTGTCATTTTGTTATTAGCATTGAAATCCGACTGTTTATTTAGAACTTATACAACAGTGTGTGTTTCCACTGTATTGCATTTGCAAAAGTGGAGAACAGCCATCTCCCCTTTTTGCAAATAATTGATACTCCATATTGGATTCTCAAAGACTTCAATATGGTGAACCTATCAAACTAAGATATCCTATTTATCCTTATGATTGTGGCCTCAGTTCCCCAGCCACTTATCCATGTTAGATGAAACTTATCACACTTTCAGTTATGTAAGTATTCAGCATTTCTTCAATATGTGTTGCTGAGGGCCCGGTGCAGTGGCGCAAGTGGTTAAGGTCCTCCCTCACCTTGCACGTCCGGATCCCATATGGGCGCCGGTTCTAATCCTGTCAGCCCCTCTTCCCATCCAGCTCCCTGCCTGTGGCCTGGGAAAGCAGTCAAGGACGGCCCAAAGCTTTGGGACCCTGCACCCACGTGGGAGACCCGGAAGAGGCTCCTGGCTTCGGATCGGCATAGCATCAACCCTTGCACTCACTTGGGGAGTGAGACATCGGACGGAAGATCTTCCTCTCTGTCTCTCCTCTGTGTATATCCGCCTTTCCAATGAAAAAAAATAATAAAAAAATAAATCTTTTAAAAAAATATATGTGTTGTTGAGACCATCTGAGCTCATAGCTGATTCAGTAACCAGTTCCATGTCATGTCATCACACCCACTACTTATCCTGCCATGGTGAAAATGCGGAGGAGAAAAAGTATTCGTGTGTCTGGGAAGCATATACACTTGGACATTTTTTTATATTCTGATTCTGTAACATTTTTTGAGCTATTTTTTTTTTACAGAAAAAAAGTGATAAGGTATAGGAGGACATTGTGACCTCAGAAGGTCAGTGAGCACAGGATTACAGTTGATTGGACAATATTTGCATGAGAACAACCAAATGGATACCTTTTGTATAACTGATTGGATATCATTTGTATGAGAACAGCTGAGTGGACAGCATGTGAATGAGAACACTTGGTGGAATATACAAAACAAAAGGAGTTCCAAACAAAAGTATAGAAACAATGATGGGTTTTGTTGATGAGCTCAATGCTTCCTCCCTTATCCCATAGGACCCTCAGTGTATAAAGTCTGATGCCACTAATAAACTTCGGCTTTTGGCCATCAGAGCCCACACGTGTTACGGGCACCAAGTCCATCGCTGTGGGACAGCGACAATAAAGCAATCAGGAGGCCAAGAGGTTTACTGTTGTTGCTTAAAGTCATCTGACTTTTGCTGGCCAATAGACCTACGTGGTCAAGTAAATTTACAGGAACAATCATTGTTTTTCAAAGCCAATAATTTGTTTTTCTGTATGAAACTGCCAATATCATGAATAGAAAGGGAGAACCATAAAGGAACAGGAATGTGATGCTCACTTGTGTTTGTGTTAACCTAAAGAAGCAGAAAATTCTTATTTTATGATACAACTCCATAGGCTCTGGGCTCTCCCTCACCCTCCTCCCCAGGTTCCCTGCCCCTGACTGAATCTTCTCTAAATGTATAAGTCTACTGCCACGAGCTAGTTAGAAAGTAGAAACACTAGTTTTTCTCTTTCTCCATTACAACACACTTAATATCCCCATGAACGATGCAATATGCCATCAGCTCCTAAGAAACTGCAAACGCTTTACTCTTCAATTTGTTCAAATTTAGATTCCAGAGCCAAAAAAAAATGTAAATTTGAGTTCCATGATATCCTGCCGGATGAATTAATGCATTAACTACGCAGGTAGGCCAAAAACCCTGCCATTAGAATTTGGCAGAACCCGTCCACTGTAGCGATGGAGGCCCCACTGCGCTCCTACAGCTTAGCCTGTCAATACCAAGAATTGGGAATTAGCCATCACTTCTGCATCCTTCAGCCCCACACCAGTCCCTGGCTCCGCCCCCTTGGGGCCCGCCCCTCCCCGGCTCCGCCCCTCCGTCCGCTTTTCCAATCCTAAGCGCCGGAGTGCCCTCACGCCTCCCTCCGTTCAGCCAATCACGAAGTACGTTTTCGAGTGAGCCACTCCTTCCCTGCCAATGCCGCAGCTCTTTTCTGTCCAGGTCCCGCCCTTCCAGGAACCGGGGCCAGAAGATGGCGGCGGCCGCTGAGTTGACGCTGCTGGAAAAATCCTTGGGCCTGAGTAAAGGGAATAAGTACGGCGCTCAGGGCGAGCGGCAGGTGAGGAGCACGGGGGCCGGCGACAGCGAAGGCTGCCGAGACGGGGCCCAGCCCGGCTGGCTGCGGGGAGGATGCGGCTCCGGAGCGCCCCACGTGTGTGCACCGCGGGGCCGGGAAGGAAGGGCCGGGCTGAGGCGTGTGCCTCCTCCGGAGCCCTGAGCTCGGCCGACCCGGAGGGCCAACGGCTCTGAGGTTGGGTGACCGCTGCTCGGTGCGCCAGGGTCCTGGTGGCTCAGGGGAGTGGGGGAGTCGGGGTTCCGTCATCGGTGACCGCTGGTCCGTAACTCCAGGAGCGCAGTGGTGCTAGCCCGGGAGATGGGGGGCCTGGGGTGCGGGAATCGGTGACCGCTGGTCGGTCCTGGTCGCTTAGGGCCAGGGTGCAAGGCAGGCTTAAGGGAGGCTCTATGCCGTGCCCTAATCCGGGGGACAGCCGAAAGGTGGCGGGGTGGGAGTGGAGAGACCGGGTGAGCTCCCTGATGGGCTGGGCCGCCTAGAGGAGTGGACACTGGAGGCAGGCACCTTCCTGATGCCCATTTGGGTTTATATTTTTAGGAAACCTTGCCACAGGCCTGAATCTTCTATGATAGAAGAGGGTACCTGGTAGGAGAAACCCCTCATCAGCAGTTCCTTCAAATCATTCCTTTCCCCAGCCCCACCTACCAGGGAAGAGTGTGGGGGAGGAAGTGGATTCTGGCTTGTTGAAATAAGTCCAAATACTGCCCCCTCCAAAAATGCTGATGTGTAAGGGATGGAACATATTGGTGATGCATAAATTATGCCAGGGTGGCGAGTCGGGCACAGCTGGTCGACCCCTGAAGGGTAAGCCCAAGATTACAGCTGGAGATTCTGAGGCTTTTGGAGTTCAGAATGAGATTTTTTATAATTTTGTTGTTGTTGTTGTTGAAACATTGTAGCCGCAGGCAGTTATTGAAAGTTTGGCCTTCTGGGATAAAATGTAGCTGCTGGGAGAAAGACAGCAAGAGGCACTCTCTCTGACACAGTGGTAATAATTAAAATTCTTTTTTTTTTTTAAAGATTTATTTTTATTATTTTTTCATTGGAAAGGCAGATATACAGAGAGGAAGATCTTCCGTCCGATGATTCACTCCCCAAGTGAGCGCGACGGGCCGATGCTATGCCGATCCGAAGCCAGGAGCCTCTTCCGGGTCTCCCACGCGCGTGCAGGGTCCCAAAGCTTTGGGCCATCCTTGACTGCTTTCCCAGGCCACAGGCAGGGAGCTGGAAGGGAAGCGGGACTGCCGGGATTAGAACCGGTGCCCATATGGGATCCGGGGCGTACAAGGCGAGGACCTTAACCACTTGCGCCACCGTGCCGGGCCCAATTAAAATTATTTTTCTGTCCGAGCATTTTTAAGGGGGTGTTCTTGGTGATCCGAAGACAGGGGCGAGATTCAGGACTCTACCTAGGACCAGGAGGTGGAACATGGCAGGACGCACCCCCGAACCTGCGTCCGTCTGTAAAATGTCCCGTGACTCCTCACGGCAGGCCGACCGCAAAGTGGCAGTCAGAGCAGGCCATCTTTCGTGGCTAAAGAGTCTTATCATTATTATTATTATTATTTTAGCCTATACCATTTTTTGTATGGTTCGCCTTCCCATCGTGCAATATTTGTTATGAAATTGTACATTAATGCGTCTGCTGTCCGACTTGATCAGTGCCGAGGGTAAAATCCAAGTGTAGCCGAACAGACAGTTGAGGGCCGAGGTGACGACTCCGGGCTTAGCGGTCAGGGTGGTCTTTGCTCTGGAAGTGTCCCTGAGGGACATGTCCTTCTTTTTAAGGTTCCGGTGCTTCAGACAAACAATGGCCCTAGTCTGACAGGACTGACCACCATAGCAGCCCATCTGGTCAAGCAAGCCAACAAAGAGTACTTGCTGGGGAGCACGGCGGAGGAGAGAGCCATCGTCCAGCAGTGGCTGGAGTACAGGGTCACGCAGGTGGACGGGCACTCCGGTAAAGAAGACGTCCGCGCGCTGCTGAAGGTAGGACGCTGTACCAGGCCACAGCCCCCGGGATGGTGACCCCAGGAGGCGACCTGCCGCCTGATGTCACGGCACCCTGGTGTCATGGACCTTTCCTTTTTTAACCTGTTCGCTTGTGCCTTGAGGGACATTGCATCTGTTACTACTTCTGCGTCCTTGCACATCTCAGTTCCCTGTCCCTGCCTGAGCCCTCTGCTGCCCCAGAGCTTCCTGTGCCCCGTGGTTGACTTCTAAAGGAACAGCCTGGCAGCTCCTCCCTCTGACTCGGCATTCCTGCTTTCCCAGAGGCAAGAGCAGCCTGGGCACTTGTGAGGGTGATTCTGCGAGGAAGCCCCTCGCTGCTCTCCAGAGACTCAGTTCCAAAGGTGACAGTGCAGAATAAAAGCATCTATTGACTATGACAAACCAGCTTCATGAAAATTTCATGAAAGCTTAACAATTTAGAGCGAACTCAGATCATCCACTTGTACATCATTGTTTTTTAACTTCTTTAGCCTTTTTAAAATGGTTATATAGTCACTTCCATTACTTGATTGGGAGGGAGAGATTGAGCGGATCTTTAGCCAACTGATTCATTCCCCAAATGCCCACAGCAGTCAGGTCTGAGACAGGCCAAAGCCAGGAAGCCCAGACTCCACCCAGGGCTCCCACACAGGTGGCCAGAGCCTAAGCACTTGAGCAATCTTCCATTGGCCAGGAAGCTGTACTGGAAGTAGCATCCCTGGGACTTGAACCCTGCACTCTAATGTGGGATGCAGGTATTCCATGCAGCTGCTTAACCCACTGCACTGTTGTATAGCAGCAATGTACATTGTGCAACAAAGTTTTTATCATTTTGAGAAAAGTGGTTTTTTTTAAAACATTCCTTTTTCTGTAAGATTTAATTATTTTTGTTGGTAAGGCAGATTTTATAGAAAGAAAGGTCTTCTGCCGACTGGTTCACTCCCCAAGTGGCCGCGATATCTGAAGCTGAGCTGATCCAAAGCCAGGAGCTAGAAGCTTCTTCAAGGGTTCCCAAGTGGGTACAGGGTCACAAGAATTTGGGCCATCCTCTGCTGCTTTCCCAGGCCACAAGCAGGCAGCTGGATGGGATGTGGAGGAGTTGGGACACAAACCGGTGCCTGTATGGGTTCCCAGCACTTGCTAGGGGAGGATTAGCTTGTTGAGCCACTACATTAGCCCCTCTTGTTGCTAGATGCCATTAGGAGGTTGGGTATGGAGTGAAGCTCGGGCCTCTGCCCTTGTAGGTCTGTCATGATCAACTGGTCGTGCCTTGCGTGCAGCTGGTCCCTTTCGAGGGTCCTGCCGTGCTCCTCGCACCACCCCACCCCCATCTCCAGAGGAAGGCGTGTCCTCCCATGAAGTGAAGGTGAGCCTTCAGGAGAGTAAAAAGTGTCTTCGGCTTTTCTAGGGTGTGGATCAAATAAAGCACTCAGCCTGAGAAAAGGAGGGGGGTTTTAGTGAATTGACCTAACAGGTTCCAAAGTCCTGTTAGTAGGTTTGGTCGGTAGAGCATACGAGCAACTCCTGCAGAGCTCTGCTAAGGCTGCGCAAGTACTGAACTGGGAGTGTGGCGGCTCCTGGTGGTGAGATGTGGAGCAAGTGCGCCTGCGTGCCCTAGACCGTCCTTCACCTTGGTGCTGGGTGCCCTGGGAACTAGGTGCCCTGGGCCATCCTTCACCTTGGTGCTGGGTGCCCTGGGTTGTCCTCCGGGGAACTAGGTGCCCTGGGCCATCCTTCACCTTGGTGCTGGGTGCCCTGGGTTGTCCTCCGGGGAACTAGGTGCCCTGGGCCATCCTTCACCTTGGTGCTAGGTGCCCTGGGCCATCCTTCACCTTGGTGCTGGGTGCCCTGGGAACTAGGTGCCCTGGGCTGTCCTTCACCTTGGTGCTGGGTGCCCTGGGTCATCCTTCCCCTGGGAACTAGGTGCCCTGGGCCATCCTTCACCTTGGCGCTGGGTGCCCTGGGCTGTCTTTCCCCTGGGGACTAGATGCTCTGGGCTGCCCCCTTGGGCCTGCACCTGCAGCCAGTGAGGTACAGTCCTGTGGGTAGGGGCTCTGGGCACTCTGTCTGCCCTAACAGAATGCCCACTAGTTCAGAACAACAGGCTGTGCCCATGTGCTTCAGGGCCAGACAAGCAGCAGGCTTGCTCCTGTTCCATGTCACTCTTAAGATGGCAATGTTTTTATTTGAGGAACAGTAAGCAATTATGCCGACTTAGGAAATAGGAATAAGCTAATGGAAGCCAACTAAAACAGCCATAGCCCTGCACTGAGGGATTTTTTTTTAAAGATTTATTTTTATTATTTTTTTATTGGAAAGGCGGATATACAGAGAGGAGAGACAGAGAGGAAGATCTTCCGTCCGATGATTCACTCCCCAAGTGAGCGCAACGGGCCGATACTATGCCGATCCGAAGCCAGGAGCCTCTTCCGGGTCTCCCACGCGGGTGCAGGGTCCCAAAGCTTTGGGCTGTCCTCGACTGCTTTCCCAGGCCACAGGCAGGGAGCTGGAAGGGAAGCGGGGCTGCCGGGATAGAACTGGCACCCATATGGGATCCCGGGCGTGCAAGGCGAGGACCTTAACCACTGCACCACCATGCCGGGCCCGCGCTGAGGGATTTTATTAGACCTGTTTCTACGTTCTTCCTGTTTTCCTTCTCAGGTGTTGTTTCAGTGGGCACCTGCTGCCCGCTGTGAAGGGAGCTGTCCACGTATGTCGTGGAGATCTGTTCCTTTCAGTAAACACTCGTGCGTACGCACCCTTTGCAGGTGCTCCTCGGTTGGTGCTAGGCGTTGGAACACATTCCATCGCTGTGTGTTTCTTAGGCTAAAGTGCGCTGAGGCCGTAGCTATGCGAAGATGGCTCCTTCCGTGAACTGCCACAGCTTCACTGTGACTTTAGGGAATTCTTATTTGGCAAAATGCCATGTTGGTGCACAAAGTGTCATTTGAAAGTGTCCGTGCCTCGTAAGTGAGGAAGGAGGTGATTTCAGAATGTAGGCAGTACTGAACACTGCTTTGTGTTGAATCTCAGATCGAGCTTCTGCTGTTTTTCTATTTAATTAGAACATTTACTACATAGTTGAGGATAAAAAAAAGAACAGGTGGAAATCCATTTAAAAAACTGGAACAATTTAACAAATTTGGCAGTGGCAACAGAAAAACTGAGTTATAAAATTTTGCACAAAATAAACTTAATCATTTAATTCCTTTTGTTATTCATATGCCAGAATATACACACTCTCCTCATTTGTGTTCATATTCTGTCATGTCCTCATTTGTACTTCATTTGGATATTGCTGTTTTTGAGTAGAAGCGTGTGCAACTCGAGGTTTGGTATTTCATTAAGCAAACACTTCCTGATTCTGGGTATTGCTGTGCTCTGTGTTTGGGTTCCCTTCAGGTCCCACATGTATGTGGGTGTGGGATACGCAGGCTCCAGGGATACTGGAGACAGAGCCTGCATGAGTAACTTAGCCTCCACTTCCCTGCCTGGAAGCAAGCAGTCAGCCTGGATCTGCTGGAGCCTTGCTCAGGGACTGGCCAGCTGCACAACTGTGAGAGACGAATCTGCTGTTTGTGACCCATGTGCATGGTCCATGGCATTCGCGTGCACAAGGACAGGTGTGATTTAAGAACCCAAACAGAGGGCCTGGCGCAGTAACCTAGAGGCTAATGTCCTCTCCTTGAACGTGCCAGGATCCCATATGGGCGCTGATGCTAATCCCAGCGGCCCCACTCCCCATCCAGCTCCCTGTTTGTGGCCTGGGAAGGCAGTCGAGGATGGCCCAAAGCCTTGGGATCCTGCACCTGTGTGGAAGATCCAGATGAGGCTCTGGGTTCCTGGCTTCAGATTGGCTCAGCTCCAGCCGTTGCAACTGTTTGGGGAGTGAATCATCGGACAGAAGATCTTTCTGTCTCTCCTCCTCTCTGTATATCTCACTTTGCAATAAAAATAAAATAAATCTTAAAAAAAAAAAAAAAACAAAACCAGAACAGAAAGGTGCTGCCCTTGGAGGAGCTCTAAAGCTGGCACGAATTCCTCTTAATTTACAGGCCAAGTTTTGAGGAAGTCCAAAGTATTTGTACAATATTTTTTACTCTTTTTTCCGATTTAGTTATTTATTTGAATGAGTTACAGAGGCATAAGGAGACACAAACACACGAAGAGCAGTGTCACTCCCCAGGGGCTGCAGTGAGCAGAGCTGGGCTGCTTGGACGCCAGGAGCTTCTCCCTGGCCTCCCGTGCGGGTGCAGGGACCCAGGGTCTTGGGCAGTCTTCCACCGATTTCCCAGGCACAGTGCCCAGGAGCTGGATAGGAAGTGGGGCAGCTCAGGCTTGAACCGGCACCAATCCAGGCTGCTGGCATCACAGGGGAGTCCTTGCCCCTGCACCACCGCCTGCCCTGAGAGGGAGAGGAACCTTGTACCTGGCGATTCACATACAATTTCAGTCTTTCCCTTCAAGCCAGAAGTACCCGTGGGCCATTTAGAAAGCTCTACCCACTGCTAGGTGTGTTTTGTTTTTATGATTTTGAATGAATTCCTTTTTGTAAACACTTTAAGCAACACAGCCTTTTAGAACTCAGCTGTCATTAAGTGGAGAGAGAATGGCAACTTTCGGTACTTGTAGATGCTTGTTTGAAGGTAGAGTCTGAGGTGTCCTGAGAACTGCTCATCTCCATGCAGATACTGCAAGTTTCCTCAGAGAATATGCATGAGATGCTGATGTTGCTGATCATTAGGGAAATGCAAACCAGACTGAGTTCTCTCCCCATCTTCTGGGGCGGCCACTGTCAAAATAAAATAAAATAGCAAATGTTGATGAGGATGGAGAGAACTGTAGCCATTGTGCATTATTGCTGTAGACACAGGATGGCAGTTTCTTAAGAAATTAATAGAGTTTGCATGTAATCCAGCTGTTTCACTTCTCGGTATTCCCCCAGAATTCAAAGCGTGACCTAGAAGAGATGGTTGTGTACTCGTGTTTGTAACAGTATCGGTCACAGTGGCCACCAGGTGACTTCACCCAAGTTTCTGTCGGTAAATGAATCCTCAGACAAAGCATGCTCTAAGCCGGGGTGGGAGCCAGCATCGTGCCGCTGTGCGTGCCCCGACTGCTCCCCTGCCTTGCAGTTCCTGCTCACGGCCCGAGTGAGAGATCCAGACAGAGCCTGCCACCCATGGCTTCAGCCTGGCTCAGCCCTGGCACCGCAGCCGCCCGCCAAGTGGACCAGCCAAAAGATAATCTTTGTTTCCTCCTCTAGAACTCTTTCAAATAAATAAATCTTAAAAATAAAAAAAGCTACAGTGGGATGTAATTTCGCCTTGTTGACACACACCCCAACATGGACAGCTGTTTATAGGATTGTGTGTGAAATGAGCCAGTCGGAAAAGTGCCCGTGTTTGAGGATTCTACTCCTGTGAGGTGGCGAGAATGGCTGGTACCCAGACCTGGCGTGAAGCCAAAGTGCAGAGTTGCTTAATGGGCATATGCAAATGAGTAAACATTAAAAAATTAAAATATTCACACTGGTAAATTTTGCTATCCATGTCATATATAATATATGTTTGTGCCCCAACTAAAAGTTATAATTACAGAGTTATAAATGGACACATATTACAACTGCACCAAGCCATTAGCAGAATTCTCACAAGAGAGGAGACAGAAGCCATTATGGGTTTTTGACGAGAAATCACTGAATCTTATCTGAGCATAATTTACAAAATATTTCCAAAAACAAAAACGGAACACTTTGAATCCTTTTTCCTAAGGTTTGCTTGTTTCTGTGGGACTGATAATGTGATCCAGTTGTGAAGTGAGATGTTTGGCAGCTGATGTGAATGAGTGCCGCTGACGTCAGTACTCGTAGCTCTGATGCGGGATGGGTTTGGCGTCTGGATTCTCAGTTGCTGTTTGGTTTTCCTAGGACCTTAATTTGTACCTGGAGGACAAGGTCTACCTGGCAGGCTTCACCTTCACCCTGGCAGACATCCTGCTCTACTACGGGCTCCACCGCTTCATCGTGAGTAGCCCCGTGTACTCACGGGCCTTCTTCTGTATTGTTCAGGATGACGTTGTAAAAATTGTCTTCAATTTAGAACAAAACTTGCCTTTTCAGTTTACCAAAAGAAAATAGAAGAAATTAACTTTATAGAAGGTATCCATGCAAAACCCCCTTCCAGCTGTGGCTTTCTGCTGCCTCCCATGCCTGTTCCACAGTTGGCTTCTGTTCTGGTTCTCCTGGTACCCCTCCCTGCCGAGTGCCTGTTGGCATGAGCGGCACTCAGCAGGCATGAGAGTGGCGTCTTCAGTCATATATGCTCCGGTCTGATTAAGTCAGGGGAGCTGAAAGCTTGGAATCTTTGCAGCTGAAATAACATTGACCGTGTCAGCCTCTTTTTATCCCATCCTAGGTTCAGTATATTTTGTTGATTTTTAAATTTAGAACGATGATGTGGCACAGCTTATCTTGCTTCAGGATGAAAGAAGCCTCTGAGGCAGAGCATCGGCTGTGAAGGAGCCAAAGCACAGCTGTCTCTCCTGGCAGCCGGCTGGCCTGGGGGACCACGGCGTGCCTTGGCGTGGCCATGCTGCCCCAGCTCAGCTGCCTTGCAGAGGACTGTGGGAACGGTTTGTGTTGAACACAGGCACAGATCTGTTGATAGTTTTCAACCAGATTTAAGTGAAGCATGATGTTTGGCTGTCGTTTGACTTTTTCTAAGTCAAGTGTGAGAAGAGACATCAGGTGTGACCGGCAGCAGGCTGGGGGATGAAACTGGGACCCGTGGGGTCCGTCCAGGAGAGCGTGATGATGGTGAGATGGAACCTGACAAGCCAGGCCTACATTTACACTTTCCCAGCTCCCATTCTGAGCAGCCGAGAGATAAGGAGAGGAAGCCCCAGACAGGGAGGGAACTTTGTGGAACTCCTGCTAGCAGGGTATATCGGGTGTCACCCACCATACGAGGAGGCCAAGTTCCTCAGCTAGGTGGCATTCAACTTTCAAGAGAAAGTTACAAGGACTTCATTCAACCCTCCTGCCTGTTAAAATGGGTAGCAACAAGCAACGAGGAGCGGCCCCTTACTCCACACCAGAGCTGAGCAGAACAGCAGTCCATGGAAACGTGCAGCTCGGGTTATTTTGTTAGGGGGAAAAAAAAATGAAGTCTGTATGTATGAGATGTGTTCAAACAGTTCCTAAAATGAATATTATGAAAAAAAAAATGCTAGGCATAGATTTCTAAAACTTTACACCAAGATACAAGTTGAGTACCCTGTTAACCTGAGCTGTTGGTAAGGCTGTAAGCACGGCGTTCATGTGCTGACGATGCCCGTAGGCCGATCCTGGCATGGAAAATATGCCTTGCTATGTAAACAAATCTTTGGGCCTGAACATCCTAGGCTGATGTGGCTTTTGCTGTTAAAAACTTGTAACTTCCTTGAAAACACGTACGATTTTGAACTAAACATGAAAGCTCTGAACGAGTGGCTTTTCCAAGGGGCTGAAAAAATCCGATTCCTGCTGGAACGTGCTGGCTTTTTTAAACTGCAGGGGAGGGGCCACAGTCGAGGTTGCGTCCCATCTCCTACTGAAGCGCCGGCAACCGCTGGGCTCTGCAATGTCGGGGTTGTGTGTGTTTTTCATCTCTAGGTTGACCTGACAGTTCAAGAAAAGGAGAAGTACCTGAACGTGTCTCGCTGGTTCTGCCACATCCAGCATTACCCGGGCATCCGGCAGCACCTGTCCACGGTCGTCTTCATCAAGAACAGACTCTACGCGAATGCCCACTAGAGCTGCCCACGCTGCCCCGAGGAGCCGTTGTGTGGCCAGGAGGGCAGGCCCACGGGCCTCACGGGGACTACTGTTGCCGCCGTCCTTTGCCGAGCTGAGAGATGGTTTAAAGCATAAACTGGCGTCTTACATGTTTTTTTAGTTTGACATGTTACATTTTGTTAATGTACAAACTTAACTTCTGTCAATGTTGAGATCAAGTTATAAACCACCCTGTTTTTAATAGCTGAAAATTATTTTAATAAAAGTTACAAATCAGCGGCTTAACCTGAAAAGAAACAGATGGTCCTTACAATTGGCTATTACTTACCCTGTCACGTTTGAAAGTTCATTTGGCTCTTATATGTATTTATAGTAGCTTGTTCGTTAAGATTTATGATGAATGGTGCGAAGAATACAGAAAGGGAAGAAAGATGAATTTTTATTCAGATATTTATGTGAGCAAGTAAATGTGGTTGAAAAGATCCTATCCGTGTGTTTCTTCCTGTGATGTCTTTCTTCCCCATTTTGATTGGGGTGGAATCAGCTGCGGCACTGGCAGAAACTGGCTGATGAGTGTTGTCCTTAGGAAAAGTCCCTGTCCCCGACAAGTTCCAGACTGGAAGGTGACGGCGCAGAGAACAACCGCTGCTCCTCCCGCCTGCCCGAGCACGCCGTCGGGGTTTGAGGAGCCAGAGCCGAGAAGCGTGGAGCATAGGAGTACCTGCCTGGTGCTGATGCGAGTTGGACCCACGTTCGAGCCCCCGGATGGATAAGGCATCGCTGAGAAGGTACACAGCACTTACAGCCGAGCAGTGGACCATCTTGCTTCCCCTGAAAAACGGAGGGAACTGTCAACTCAGAGCACTGAGGGAGAAAGCACGTGTGGGGGAATCCCAGTGCAGCCCCCACTCTCAGAAGCCGCCAGCTGCCTGGACCTCCTTCAGGCAGGTCAGCATTGTTTGTTTACGCAGAATTGGGAAACCTTTCTTCTGCAAAGGCTGTCGGGATATTATGTCTTTGTTTTTAGTTTTATTTGAAAGGTCGGTTTTTACAGAGAGCAGAGGAAGAAAGATTTTTGATCTGCTGGTTCAGTCCCAAACGGCCACAATGGCGGGAGCTGAGCTGATCCAAAACCAAGAACCAGGAGCTTCTTCTGGGTCTCCCACATGGATGTAGGGTCTAAGGCCTTGGGTCATCCTCTACTACCTTCCCAGGCCACAAGCAGGGAGTTGGATGGGAAATGGAGTGGCTGGACCAAATCAGAGCCCATATGGGATCCTGGCACTTGTAAGAGGCGATTTGCCTTATTCACCACCACTACAGCTCCAGGGATATTTATACCATCGTTCATAAGCCAAGCAAAATTAGCAACTTAAAAATTAGCATAAATTTGGGTCCGGCGCCATGGCCTAGCAGCTAAAATTCCTCACTTTGAATGCACCAGGATCCCTAATTCCGGCTGCTTCACTTCCCATCCAGCTCCCTGCTTGTGGCCTGGGAAAGCAGTTGAGGACGGCCCAATGCTTTGGGACCCTGCACCTGCGTGGGAGACCTGGAGGATGTTCCTGGCTCTGGAATGGCACAGCACCAGCTGTTGCTCTCACTTAGGGAGTGAATCATCGGATGGGAGATCTTCCTATCTCTCCTCTCTATATATCTAACTTTGCAATAAAAATAAATTTTTAAAAAAATTAACATAATCTATTGAATTTCAAATCCTGCCGGTTGGTGGTCTTGGCAGGGACAAACCAAACAATTTTAGGGACCTTCATGGCCTGTGGGCCAGATGTCCCTCGCCTCTGATCCTTGGCATTTGCCCTTTTTGCCCATATGTGAGTGTGGCGAAGGTGCCTGTGGCCTGGTCAGGATGCCACTTGGGATTCCTGCATCCGGCATCAGAGGTGCCCCAGCTCCACCTGCTGGTCCAGTTTGCTGCTGACGCACAGCCTGGGAGGCAGTGGCTCTGGTCATTAGACCCCTGCCATGCACCTGCAAGATGTAGAGGGTTCCTCGCCACTGGCCCCAGCCTGCCTAGCCCTAACTAGGGCTGCAGGCAAGAGCTGTCACTTCAGCTTCCGCCCCACCTCTTAAACAATTAAAGGTGACTTATTTATAAACAAGATATATGTTGCAGTTCTGCAGCCTCTTCACAAAATTGGATTTCCCCCGCGCTGCCCTCAGGAGCAGATTTGCTTTTACATGCTGACCTACAAATTGTAAACGGTAACCGTCACCATCTGCATGATCAGAGGCTACACGACTTAGATGAGACTTAGGGCACGGAGTGGGGTGTGGGGGCAGGTCTCACCGGGCACCTGCCAGGCAAGCCTCTGCCCAGCTGGGTCTACTCTGAGACCAACATGGGATGTCCTGTGTCTGCAGTAAAACATCTCCCTTTGTCCGCTGTGGGGCAGGAGGAGATAAAGAACGGCAGGACCAAGAGGACGCAGCCAGTCCCACCTTCCCAGCCCGTCCGCTGCTTGAAGTGCTTCATACCTGAGAGCGGGGATGGAGCCCACCAGCTCAAAACCATGGGTCGCACACAACAGGTGCTGAATATGTACTGCTTGAGAAAAGGTGCTACTGCAGGTCTGCTTTGAGCCGAAGAAAGAGGTGTATCGGCTACTTGTACTGAGCAAAACAAAGAGATGATGAAAACAAAGATTGTGTTGGTCTCATAAGCAGGAGAACCAGGGGTTCAGCTGTGTGTTCGGAGGGGGCATCCAGCACCTGTTTCAGCTTCTGCCAACTGAACAACTGGTTTCCTAATTAAGTTCAATACGTGGACCTTTCTTGATATCAGAACTGCGTGGCCTCTAATGTCAGTTACATAAGTCATTGTGATGTCAGAACTGCATGGGCCTCTGTGACGTCAGAGCTGCACGAGCCTCTGGTGTCAGAGCTACTTGGGTCACTGTGATGTCAGCTACATGGGTCACTGTGATGCCAGAGCTGCACAGGTCACTGTGTTGTCAGAGCTACATAGGCCTCTGTGACGTCAGAGCTGTATGGGTCACTGCAATGTCAGAGCTACGTGGGACACACATCAGAGCTACATGGATCACTGTGACGTCAGAGCTACACGAGTCTCTATAATATCAGAGCTGCGTGGGCTTCTGATGTCAGCCACATGGGTCACTGTGACATCAGCTGCACAGGCCTCTGTCATGCCAGAGCTGCATCCCGTTCCCTGAAGGACATTTCTGGAAGTTGTGTTCAGCAGCAGCTGCTGCACCTCTGGCTGTGTGGGTTGGGAGAGACACCATGGACACAGTGCTACCCAAAGTAAATGCTCTGCTCTCTCAGAAAAGGAGATACCAGGGAGACATGTGGCCACAGGGTCCTTTGTGAAAGAGCGTGTGTTAGTCTGTGAATCCTTAATTTGCCAAAGAACCCTCACAAAGTCTAGGTGCTTGTATTATTTACCCATATTTTTAACCATCTTAAACATGGTTGCCCCTGTTTCACCCATATCTGCAGATAAGGTAACTGACACAGAGAATTAGGGAGCAGGTCCAAGGTCCCCCGGACCTCGGTGTTCAAGTGCTGGATCGCCCTCACGCATGGGGCTCAGCCTGAGCATGTGAACCCCCTCAGAGGGGGCCAGTGAAATTCCGCCAAGCCAGTGTGGGGAGTCGGGTCTCGCCAACCTTGGAAGGAAACAGCTATGGACACATGAGCATCCGTGAAACAGTCACACAGCTGTGACGTGCTAAACACCTTCAACTGCAGCTGCAGAAGGATCGTTTGTAAGAGTCCATGAATAATCTTCATTCATCAGAATACACACTAGTTTTATAACAAAAATAGTAAAACCAGGAAGTGTCCAACAGAGAAAACTTTTTGTAGGGTTCTGTGGCTGCCATACCATGGCAGGAAAGCTGAGGGAACTTCCAGGGCCACAGAGTCACCCATCCTTGATCTGAATTCTCTGTCAAACACCCCGGCCCCGGCCTGCTCAAGTTTCTGCACAGGGACAAAGACATCATTGGGAGGGTTCCCCCCCAACACACACACCTCCATGGCCCTACAAGCACGTCCAGTTCCTGATAGCCCTGCTGGAGAGCCACCGGACCAGCTGCAAGAGGTGCCGCTGAAAGTTCAAGCAGGTGCTTCGTAGGGAAATGCGAGCTCTGCCTACAACGATCGCACATGTGTTCTTCCCACTGAAGGATAACAGCTCCCAGACAAGTGGTCCAAATCACGGTGAACTATGGCTCTTTCATTTGTGTTTTTTCCAAACACTGACTTCACTCTTCTTTATTAAAAAGTCAGATGTTACATGAACTTTAATATTAATCCAGCTTTGGCAGAGATGTGGTGCTGTAATGGATTGCAACATCTAGCAATTCCCCCCCAGAGAGCAATATTTCTTCTTTCTCTCCACAATTAGATAATCTGCCGCTACCCATCACCAGAGCACTAAATTGCAAATTCCCCGTACACCTGAGCAGGCTGCTACATATCCGGCCGTCTTAATTCTAGTCTTGACTTATGGACGCTGAATTACATTCTTAACTTTTCTTGGAGCTCCGGGAGAATTTTATTGCAAAAGCAATGGGGAGAGAGTTACCGTCATATATCTCCCCTGCTGCGCTTCAGGATGCACCAGGGGCCCCACATCCCGCCTTGCCCCGTCTTGTCTTGTCAGCTGGATTTATAACAGTGAAGCCCAGCTCTGGGCTTCCATACAGGCATATCAAGAGATGGAGAATTTGATTTTGCAGTAATGATTGCTTGTTGCTGAGGCCCACTTCCCCGCAGGCTCTGCCTCTATTCCCATCCCAGTACTGCTGGTGAATAAAACTAATTCAACTGTCCAGTGAATGTCGTCTCTCATAGAGGGTGGAAGTTGAAGCAGTTGCCATGTTGTTGCCACTTTGGCTACAGTGTGTTAAGGAATCCTGTGACTCCTTTAGGAACATTTCAAACTTCAGGCTCCTTGTGAGAGCGAGTGTAAGCTTTGTATCTTTTCCATCCCAACGAGTTCATTTGATGGCTCATACTTACTGTCTCTTCCACTTCAACGCAGCCAGATCCCCAGGGCTGGCAGAGCCTGTCAGATCCCCAGGGCTGGCAGAGCGTGTCACGGACCCTGCAGCTTGGGTTGGCCATCCCTGCTAAGGGCCATGTGTCCTTGCAGGCTTGCCGTGGCTCATTTTTTGTCTTCCCTTCACATCATCTGCTTGAGACATCCATGCCTGGCAGGCCTGTCTTTCCAAGTCAAGCTTGAAATACGGTAACTGTGGAACTAATTTGACAAGGCATACTCTGAGCAATAAGACTGTGGGCTTGATTTGCCCAAGATGAGAAGCTCATAGACACCTGATTAGAAAGTCCAGCATTCTTTGATACGATCTAGGAGCATGCCTGTTCATCACATGTAGGTGATTGTCTCTCAACTGCCGCAGTTCCCCCCACCTTCTATGGCACCTACACACCTGATTGGAGAGGCCACTTCCACCCATTTGTGTCCTGCCAGCTTTTGGCAATTGAGTCTCGACACTTGGATGAAACAACTATCTATTCCACAGGGAATGCCTGAGCCCACAAACAAATTCACCATGTTTTTGTTTCCTAGGCATGCAGAACTACAACAAAGTTTAACTTAAAAAAAGTAGGCACAGCAAAAGATGAACCCAGGAATGAATATGAAAATGATACTGCACTATAGTTAAATGTTTTACGTCTAGGATTTTCTGTTTAATATTTTTGGATGGCAGTTGACCTTGGAAAACAGAGAAAGCAAAAGTGATTGGGGTCTGGGGCACGATCATCAGCTGGACTCACAGGAAGAGGTGTCAGATGTTGCTATGAGCAGCGGCTCTCAGATCGCCAGCGTGCACTTTGACTTGGAGCAGTGCCCACATGTTCAAGTTTCTAACAGAGCTCCGGGTAATTCTAAAGCCGCTGGTGCGATAACCATGGCATTGAGACCACAGTTGTCTCAGCAGAAATTTCATCCCAAAAACAAAAGTCTCATCCTACATATCTGTATATGTGTATATATAAACACATATATATCTCCAGCATAACTCATAGTAGGCATTTACTATGTTCTTTCTGAAGACTTGTAAATACAGTTTCAGCATTGTTTTGAACCAAAATAAACTCCTTTGATTTCCTTTCCAAAAACAAAAGACTCATCCATCCAGAGATAAAAATTTCTGGGAGATCTGCAGCGTGGCTGCTGTCGGGGGTGCCCCAGCCAGGCCGGACCCAATGCGGGGGACTCAGGCCAAAGTCACTGCCAACAGGCAGTGACCGAGTCCTAGGTTTTCAGCGGCCAGCGCACCAAGTGGTGCCAGCCTCTGCCTGCTGGCCACCCGGCGGCAAGCCGTGGGGTTTTTGGGATACAATTACGTGCTGCCTAGGGACACCCATGAATAAGGCAAATATGAGTGTAGGTGAGAGATGAATTCTGGGTGATTCCTAGTAACAAGGTCACAGAACTTTCTGGCAAGCATAGAGACTGAAACCTTGTGGTTTGGAGGGCAGAGTCCATAAGATCTATTTGGGCCAGACTGATTCACCAGCCCAAATAAGAATCTTGAGATGGGCTGTTAGCATAGAGCATCACTGACTGCCACACACCAGTCCACACAAAAGCTATGGCTGGGGGCCTGTATGGCAGGGCTAGGTACCAGTACCTGACTAAGTGGTGGAACAGTGGACAGGTCACACCTGGCAGGGTCAAGACACTAACCAGTGCGCAAGAAAACCAGATCCAGAAGGTAGAATCTGTGGGGGAAGGGTGGGCCAAACCTGTGGAAATACAAGTCCTGATGGTTAGCTCGCAAGCTGGGGTGATGAAGGGCTGAGCTAGGTGTGACCATGGAGCCTGCCATCACTTATGGATAAAGGAACTGACAATAATCTGGGCAGATCAAGGCAGCAGCACCCGAATGTGCATCCTAAAATAGGATGCAGGGTGGGCCGAGCTGTAACTGGAAGGGGGCAGACCAGGCAGGGCAGAGCAAACCTCAGCTCACAGGGAAGAACAGAAATCAGAATGGAGCTCCAGTCATGCAGAACTAGGCTCTTACACTGACTGGTCTGCTTGAGCCAGGGATGTTAGACCATAGCATCGAAGGCAAAGGCTGAGACAAGTGAGGGGCTAAGCCAACTGGGTCAGAGCAACCACTGGCATGCACATAATCTAGGGCTGGGAATAGGCTCCATCGGGGAGCTGTGAGAGTACACCCTTGCTGGGTTGGGATTCCCACAGGAGGGTGCAGGGGCCAGTGTGGGGGCTGCATTCTGGTCTGGATATTGCTGCAATCTCCCTTGGCACAAGTATGAACTGGGGTTGGGCACATTAACCAGGCTAGACGCCAGCACCATCTGGTGCTCTGGAGAACCTGAGGAGATGTAGGACATTGTCTCCGCTCCAACTGTTGTTGTCACTTGGGGAGTGAAGCATTGGATGGAAGATCTTCCTCTATGTCTCTCCTTCTCTCTGTATATTGGCCTTTCCAAGAAAAATAAGTAACTCTTAAAAAAAAAAAAAAGCAAGCGGAGCAGCCCGACTCACACCGACACATGCTGGCACCTCAGGAAGCAGCTTGACACACTTACCACAACACCAGGGTCTTGGATGTTTTCTCTGTCTTTCATAAATGAAGGTTCTTCAAAAAGTTGGTCGAAAAACGAAAATAGAAGACAAGTTTATTTTCATGCAGAAAACATTGGGAAATCCATGCGTAGTGTTTGTTATATTGGTTTGCTGTGGACTTTTACAAGACCCCTCTCTTCCTTCCTTTCCCCTCCACCTTTTTTTTTTTTCTACAAATTAAAGCATATTAAAGTCCTAAGGATTTTTTTCCGGCTGGATTCTGTTTTCTTATTTGATGGGGATGAGTTGGTGGCCTGTAGGTCAGTTATCTCAGGTTCCTACCAGAATGTGATCCCGTCCTTGTCCGTCACCTCTCACAGTTTACACAATGATTTTTCTTCCTGTTTAGTAAATGATGCTGATTTGTTGTTTACACTGGCTCTTCGGTTTTAATTTGGGAAGAGAGAGCTCACCCCCATTGGCTTACTCCCCAGTCCGGCTCTAACACGAGTGGTGGGAACAGAACTTCTTGAATCATCTTTGTGTTTCCCAGAGTCTACACTGGCAGGGAGCCGGTGTCAGAAGTCGGGGCTGGGTCAAGCCCCGATGCTCCTAGGGCAGAGGTCAATGTCTTCAACGCTAAGCTCAACAGCTGCTCCTGGTTCTGTCTCGGTTTTTAACTTATATCTTATTGGCGAGTTATTCAGGGGTCTAGGTTTGTCCGATTTTTCTAACACTCTGCTATCTCTACTTAGAAATCTTAAGAAACTCACAGTGATTTAAAATACTCATTTCGTAGCACTTTGTTCATGCAATGAAAATTCACTTGTCCTAACCCAGTAAAATATTTATTACCTTCCTGCTTTATAGCTGAGGAAACTGAAATGTATAGTGGTTTGACACTCATTCTTCTCCAATGATATGGAAACAGCTGTTGTGTGTACTGAGTTCTCCGGCTCCAAAGTCAAGTTCAACTCAGGATGGCACGTGCGTACATCACTGAGAATATCGCGGAAAAATAGGCCTGGTCTCCTGAGACCTCACCGCCTCCTGGAAGCCCACTGTCCCCTGGCACCTCACCGCCTCCTGGAACCTCACCAACTTTGAAATCTCCTAAAATTAAAAAAAATAATAATAAAACTTGATGTAAAATTTAGAAAATGTCAAATTTTGAGACTTCATTCATTTTCTTCTAAACTCTTGCCAATCGCAAGGAAACTTTTATTGATGTTTCAGAAATTGTATAAAAATTTCATTAAGCTTTGTTTCAAAGGTTCATAGCACAAAAGCATACTGCCTTTTGGCTAAAAATTTCTAGGAATTTTAATAAAGTATAATTGGATGTAAGTCTTCAGAAAATGTCACAATTTTGAGTCCTGCTTCAACTTTTTTGACCCCTGGTTGCAGCTTAACGAAAGTTTTATAAAAGTTTCCAATGTTTTCTAAGAAATATATACATATAAATATGTATATATTAAGTAAGTTTCATTAAATTTTGCCTCCCAGGTTCAGAGGAGGATGGTGCCATTTTCCCTGAATTTTGAAATTTCCCTTTCTTTAAAAAAGATTCATTTATTTTCATTGGACAAGCAGATTTACAAGAGAAGGAGAGACCAAGAACTTCTGTCCACCGATTCACTCCCCAAATGGCCACAATAGCCAGAGCTGAGCTGATCCAAACCCAGGAGCCAGGAGCTGCCTCTTGGTCTCCTACACAAGTACAGGGTCCCAAGGCTCTGTGCCGTTCTCCACTGCTCTCCCAAGAGGCACATGGAGCTGGATGGGAAGCAGGCCCACGGGGACACAAGCTGGCACCCATAAGGGGACCCTTCCACTATTATCACTTGCCTTGTGGTTTTTGCCTTGGCCCTGTCTCTGGGAACCGGTTAACCTGGTTAAAACGAACCTTGCCTGGATCCAACCCACATGAATACTCACTGTTGCTGTTTCTGTGTTGCTATCACTGGGTAGATCAGTGTCTTGGAAGGCTAGTTTCTTTTCCTTTTTAAAAAATTCATTTATTTGTTTGAGAACCAATGTTAACAGAGAAGAGAAACAGATTTCTCATTGGTGGCTCACAACGGCTGGAGCTGAGCCAATCTGAAGCCAGGAGCCAGGAGCTTTTTCTGGTCTTCCACTGGGTGCAGGGTGCCAAGGCTTTGGGTTGTGCTCTGCTGCCTTCTCAGGCCACAGGCAGGTGGCTGGATGGGAAGTGGGGCTGCCGGGACATGAACTGCTGTCCATATGGGTTCCCAGCACTTGCAAGGAGAGGATTGAGACATCACACCAGGCCCAAAAATTTCCAAAAATTTTAATGAAGTAAAATTTGATGTAAATCTTCAGAAAATGTCAAAATTTTGAGGCCTGCTTCAACTTTCTTTAATCTCTGGTCCAAGCTTAATGAACTTTTAATAAAATTTCCAAATATGGAAATTCTCCCTTGGTGGAATACGGAAGTGTAGTGACATTTTCCCCAAATTTTGAAATTTTATGAAATTGCTTCATTCTGCCAAAACCCGCCCCCAGCTTGTCACGGTGCAGACATACACCTGCTGTCCGTCCCCGACAGGCAGGGAGGGGGCAGGGTTGCACGCCACAGCTGGCAGGCAGGGGGCAGTTCTTGTCAATGTCCGCGTCCATCAGTCTCTGTCTTTACTGATCCTAAACTGGGACTGAGGATCATGACATCATCGTCATCTTCAGCATCATCACCGCCACTGTCCCAGCAAACAGCCGTGCGTGGGGGTGTTCAGGACAATCCCCAGACACAGGGTTCCCTGCCCAGGGTCCACGGATAGGGTCCAGGGGACGCCCCGTGTAGGCGGTCACAGAGGTGATCCAGGACAGATGTGGCTGTACCAGGGTTGCACGGGCCGGCGGGCCGGTCACTGCAATCAGCATCCATTCGCTGCGGCTCACCTGGGGTCGACACATAACTGCACTGCCTGGGGCCACAGACTCCTGCGGGGTTGAAGGCAGAGTTTCAAGTCAGGATCCTAGAAGTGTAGAGGGAAGGATCTAGAATGTTCTATGAGGTTCTAGCATGATCTGGAATTTTCTAGAAAAATCCAGGAAAAGCCATGGCTGCAGCCCATGACAGAGAAATTAAAAAATGAATAAAAATATTAAGTGAAAAATAAGAAACCAATCAAAACACAAATAAGTTTATGATCCCAAATTTGTATGAAATCCCAGTTTAGAGGCTGTGACAGAAGAACTCAGAGGGTTTTTTTTTTTTTCGGTGGGAGGAAGATAGGGGCACAAAGTTGAACAGACCATACAGGTTTAAAATTTTCTGGAAATCTTTGGAATACTACTTTGGAATGTTCTGGGTGATGTTCTAGAAAGATTTGGAATCTTCTGGAATGTTCTAGAAGAAGGAATGTGAATGTTCCGGGATGTTGAAAATGTAATCTTTAAAAAAAAAGTCTGAGGACAGGAATGGAGGCGCTCACCAGGTCTGTGTCCACGCCACCATCACGCGGTGAGAAGCAGATAACGGATGGCCCTGAGCTGGGGTGGAGCTGGGTGCAGGCCGACTCGTCCAGCAGCTGCACCTGCAGCGTGCCTAGAGTCTCGTTTGTCTGTCCTATAAAGACAGAGGAGACAGACACAACTGAAATAAAAACATGAAAGACGTAGAAAAGATAGGAAATATAAGAAAGTATTTACTGAATAACTATTTGTGATAAAATAATTAATAACTGATAGTGTCCTATAAGGTATATAAAAAGTCAATAAAAACTGCATACAGAAAATATTAATATAATGTATGAAAACATTAAGTATTTAATAAATACTAAGATTATACTACTACCATTTTATATCATAAAAATTTTTTAATGAAACACAAAATGTAAAGTATGTAAAAATAAAGCATAAATTAGTGGTTTTGCATTATAAATACCTAAAATATACAGAATGTGTAAAACTACAATATAAAAACTATGTAAATATATTAAAATATAATTTAAAACAACTAAATATTAATATACCATTAATAATTAGTAACTGGTAGTTCATAGAAATATTCTTAATATGTTAATAATAATATTGTATATTAAGATATAAAAGTATGAAAGATATGAAAAGACAAAAAAACACAAAAAATGTGACTAGAAAAATGATGACATTTTATATTATAAAAATCTTCTAAAATATTAAAAATGTGAGAGTAAATATTGAATATGAATAACTGAATAATGAAGATTCCTATATTAAAAGTATAATAGCAAATAGTATAAATAAAAATACATAAATATGTGAAAATATGAAATATGAGTCATAAAACATGAAATTTTTATGTTGAACAATATTAAGAAACAGTGTAAAATAAGAATTGATACTTAATATTTTGTATTACAAACAAGGTAAAAATATGAATACAGAACACAGATTCTGGAATTAACCGGATTGTTCTGGAACCCCGCCCGCTCACCTGTCGGCAGCGCCCGCGGCCCCGCCAGCCAGCACTCGGGGCCCGTCAGGTTCCTCAGCCCCGCCAGCGGCCAGGACGGGGCGGCGGGTGTAGACGGGGCCGCGGGTGTAGACGGCGCCGGCTCGAGCTGCAGCAGCGCCAGGTCGGGGTTCGGGGGCTTCCTCGGGAGGACGACGCGCGCCACGCGCAGCACCCTCGGCTCCGCCCCCCGCGACGTCCGGACGCCGCTGGTCACTCGGCCCGGCCCCGCCCCCTGCGCGCCGCTGTCCGTCAGCGTGCCCGGCCCCGCCCCCTGCGGGCCCCTGTCCATCACCGCGCTCGGCCCCGCCCCTTGCGGACCACTGTCCATCACCGCGCTCGGCCCCGCCCCTGGGATGACGATGGCCACCGTGTCCTCCGGGTGCCTGAACAGGAGGGAAAGGAAGAAAAGGAACCGTCACTACTAGAAATGCTCTAAATAAAAAATAAAATGAAAATGAATATAAAAATAGAAAAGATATAAAATATACACATTAAATAATAAAATTAAAAACGAATAAAACTAAAGGAATAAAAAAAAGTTGAAATAAAATGAAAACAAATTAATACAAATAAAAATAAAAGGTGCGGAGGCGGAGCTCACATGCCCTGGACGCAGCGGGCAGCCGTGAGGACCCAGGCGCTGCCGAGCAGGGACCCGCCGCACACCTGATGTCCACAGCCCACGAGCAGAGGCTGCCCAGGCCCAGCGTGGAGCATGGACACGCGTGCATCCGGTCCTGAGGGAGAGACACGGAAGGCAGAAAAAAGAGAAAAAAGCCAATGTAATCCGTGACGTCAGTGATACCTCAACATCTTTGTAACATGCAAGATCACTATGACATCAGCCAGTGAAAAGCAGCAGTTCAGTGATCCCTATGACGTCATCTTGATGAGTTGTGATGTCAGGGATTCTTGACCACATCCAGGATCCCTTTGACGTCACCCTTTGTGCTCTATGACATCAGGCTCCTGTGGTGTCAGCCATGACGTCAGTCTGTGTGCTATGACATCAGGCTCCTGTGATGCAGCCATGACGTCAGTCTGTGCGCTATGACATCAGGCTCCTGTGGTGTCAGCCATGACGTCAGTCTCTGTGCTATGACATCAGGCTCCTGTGGTGTCAGCCATGACGTCAGCCTCTGTGCTCTATGACATCAGGCTCCTGTGGTGTCAGCCATGACGTCAGCCTCTGTGCGCTATGACATCAGGCTCCTGTGGTGTCAGCCATGACGTCAGCCTCTGTGCGCTATGACATCAGGCTCCTGTGGTGTCAGCTATGACGTCAGTCTGTGCGCTATGACATCAGGCTCCTGTGGTGTCAGCCATGACGTCAGTCTCTGCGCTCTATGACATCAGGCTCCTGTGGTGTCAGCCATGAGTCTCTGTGCGCTGTGACATCAGGCTCCTGTGGTGTCAGCCATGACGTCAGCCTCTGTGCGCTATGACATCAGGCTCCTGTGGTGTCAGCCATGAGTCTCTGTGCGCTGTGACATCAGGCTCCTGTGGTGTCAGCCATGACGTCAGCCTCTGTGTGCTCTGACGTGAGCGAGGGGTGGGAGCCCGATGACGCCTGCTCACCTGGGGCCTTGCCCTGCGTCGTGGCGGTCGGTGAGGCGGACGGAGACTCGGCTTGGGGCGGGCCGCCTGGGGTCAGGGCCACGCGGGGCGCGGTGGCGGTGGACACGCTGGGCCGCAGGACGGCCTGCAGCCAGGGCAGGAAGGGGCGCACGGGGCTAAAGGCGTAGGGCCGGGCGCAGCTCGGGTCAGAGGCGCCCAGGATGCCCACCTGCAGCCAGGCGCCCTGCGGCCCACGGCACACCAGGGGCGCCCCCAGGTCGGCCTGGGGGAGGAAAAGGACACCGACATGTCCCCTGGGCGCAGGGACGCTCAGGGAACATTGCAGAAGGCTGTCGGGCCGCCTAGAACATTCCAGATCCTTCTAGACGGGCCCGCTCGCCGCAGCCGCCCCCACACCGCCGTCCTGTTACCTGGCACATGGTCTCGCCCACGGCGGGCACGGCCTCCACGCAGAAGCTGGCCTCGTCCAGGTGCGGCCAGTGCGACGTGCAGGACGTCGCGTGGCGCAGGCTCAGCCGCCGCTTCTGCAGGACCCCGGGGCTGCCTGGGGGAGGACAGAGGCACACTGGCCGCCTTTCTGTCCATCTCCTCGAGCAGCCGTCTGCTCGGAGGCTCCCTCCAACACCCGTCTGGCCTGCTGACTCTTTCCAGTCTTGTGCCCGTCCGTCCATCTTCGGAGATGTCAGTGCTTCCGGTATGTCTGTGCGCCCGTCCATCTTCCCATGTATCTGTCCGTCATCCTGCATGTCTGTCCTGCCCGTATGTTTGTCCTTCCGATGTGTCCGTCCATGTTCAGGCCTGTCCATCCCCCGGCCTGTCCGTCCTCCCACCACCCGTCCTCCCCGTGTGTCCATCCATGTTCTGGCCTGTCGATCCTCCCCCGCCTGTCTGTCCATGTTCTGGCCTGTCCGCCCCCTGGGCTGTCCATGTTCTGGTCAGTCCATCCCCCGCATCTGTCCTTCCCCCGGCCTGTTCACCCCCCGGCCTGTCCACCCCCCGGCCTGTCCACCCCCTGGCCTGTCCACCCCTGGCCTGTCCTTCCCCTGGCCTGTCCACCCCCTGGCCTGTCCTTCCCCCGGCCTGTCCATCCACTGGCTGTCTGTCCTTCCCCCCAGCCTGTCCAGCCCCGGCCTGTCCATCCCCCAGCCTCTCTATCCTCTGACTGTCTGTCCATGTTCTGGGCTGTCCTTCCCCTGGCCTGTCCTTCCCCCGGCCTGTCCAGCCCCGGCCTGTCCACCCCCCGCCCGTCCCTGCAGCCCGTGGCTCACCCTGCATGCCCGACCAGCCGGGCAGCCAGCACTCCTCGGCGTGGCCCACGGGCGCCGTGTCCTTGGCGGAGCCCCCGCGGTCCAGGCACACCGCGTGCAGGCGCGGCGGCCGCAAGCGGAGCGGCCGGCCGAGCAGGACCAGGCCGGGCCCCAGGGCGCCGCGCAGGCCCAGGTGCGGGAGGGCGCGGTGCACGGGCGAGGCCTGCGCGGCCGCCGCGTCCTGCAGGTCCACCAGGCCGGCCTGCACCTGCCCCAGCCGCTCGGAGCCCCGGCTGCGGAGAGGCCAGAGAGGGAAACTGACCGGAGAATTCACTCACCTGCCCGCGCATTCTAGAATATTCTGTTTGCCTTCTGGAACTTTTGTTATTATATGCTATGAAGTTCATAAAAGCTAAGTTTTTCATTATTATTAGATATGAAACAGCTGAATAATAAAAATAGAAAACAAATATATATTCGTGTAACTGTGACATCATAAAAATACATAAATGTAAAACATAATAAAATAATTTCAAGTCCTGAATTATTATTTGGTACAAAATTGAAAAAATGTATTTTTTCATTAAAAACAACAACAACAACAAAAAAACTTTTTCTCAGGCCTGGTGTGGTAGCCAGTGACTAAAGCCCTCGCCTTGCTCGTGCCTGGATCCCATATGGGCGCCGGTTCTAATCCCGGCAGCCCCACTTCCCTTCCAGCTCCCTGCCTGTGGCCCAGGAAAGCAGTCGAGGACGGCCCAAAGCTTTGGGACCCTGCACCCGCGTGGGAGACCCGGAGGAAGCTCCTGGCTCCTGGCTTCGGATAGGTGCAGCACCGGCCGTTCTGGCCACTTTGGGAGTGAATCATCGGGCGGAAGATCTTCCTCTCTGTCTCTCCTCTGTATATCTGACTTTTCAATAGAAATAATAAATATTTTTTTAAAGTTTTTTCTCATTATTTTTGTAAAACTTAAAAATATGTTTCACTAAGAATTCACTATTACTAAGCAGAAAATTGATTTTAGAAAGTTATTACTTGATACATTCTGGAAAAGTCTAAAAGATTTTTGGTTCATATTTTCATTAGGTATAAAATTTATTAAACCGTTTCTTCATTATAAGTGATGGGAAGTTGATGAAAAAGCTGAGTTTTTATTAATGAAAGTCATATTAGGAAGAAAATTGAAAAAAATGTTTTCCATCGAAAAACAATTTGTGGGCCTGGTGCGGTAGCCTAGTGGCTAAATTTCTCGCCTTTTACATGCTGGGCTCCTATAAGAGGGCTGGTTCTAATCCCGGTGGTCCCACTTCCCCTGCTTGTGGCCTGGGAAAGCTTTGGAAGTGAACCAGCGGATGGAAGATCTATTCCTCTCTGCCTGTCCTCTCTGTGTATCTGACTCGCCAATGAAATCAATCTTTAAAAATATAAGAAATTGCATTTGTCATTAGGAAATTTATATACAAGCTTTGTATTGCTATTATTACATATAATCTTAAACATTTGCTTGCCTTCCAGAATATTCTGTTTATGATTAAGCATAAAATGGGTAAGTTTATTTTTCATGAAAAGGCTATCTAATTCTTTTCTGATATAAAATTAAACTTTTCCTAAATGATTGTCAATACAAAATGATTAAAAAAACACTTTAAAATATCATTCAGTATGAAATTGATTTAAAAATTATTAGCTGTAGATTGGTTAAAGATTTACTTTTACATCACTATTATGAAACTGACAAAAATAAAAATCTTTTCTTCATCAAAACACCTTTCTGTTATTCAATATATACATTTCTAAAAATATCAAAATAAATGTAAAAATATAAATAGTAAATTGAAAATTAAATAATAAATACATAAACTATTAAAAAGCTTGTTAGTTTTTGTTCGATATAAAATAGCCACTCAGATTCCAGAACATTACATTCTAGAATATTCTTTTCTTTATGATGTCCTAATTGTGTAATTCTGCTGGCACAAGCAGGGACTCACAGGAAGTAGGCGCACTGGGCTGCGGTCAGCACCCACTGGGCGTCCAGCACAGACCCGGCACACACATGGGTGGAGCTGAGCTGCAGGGACACGACCCACGGGAACTCGCCGGGCTCGGCATCCCGACAGCCAGGGCAGCGGGGGTGGGGGCCGGAAGATGATTCGCATGCTGCAATGGAGACACAGGGAAGAATGCTGTCATGGGAGCCTACCATGAGATTCCAGAACATTCTTGAATTCCCAAGAAGCTTCCACAGAATTCTAAAAATTTCCAAAACCTGGCACCCCACCAGAACTTTTCACAGGCTCCTAGAACCTCCCGGGGTATACAAACTTACCTGAAGTCTCCTGGGAGGCGACCGTGGGTGTCTTATAGAGCCAGTACTCCTGGGGCGTCTCCCTCCAGGCCACGCCCAGGCGGCAGGTGGACAAGAAGATGTTAAGAACGGAAGGTTCCAAAGCGTTCTGGGAGACATTGAGGACAGGGGGTTTCAGAAGGTCCTGGGAGGTGTTGAATATGAAAGGTTCCGGAAGGTTCCCAGAGATATTGAAGGCGGAGATTTCTGGAACACTCCGGGAGACATTGGGGATTAAAGATTCCAGAACATTCCAGGATATATTGAACATGGAAGCCTCTAGAAGATTCCTGGAGACATTAAGGATAGAAGGTTCTGGTACCTTTTTCGATAGTGAGTCCAGCCCTTGGGGAATGTTAGGGATGGAAGGTTCCAGAAGGTTCTGGGAAACATTAAGGGTAGAAGTTTCTGGAACATTCCAAGAGGCATTGTGCATGGAAGGCACCAGACCATTCCAGGATATATTGAACATGGAAGGTTCCAGAAGATTTCTGGCGACATTGAGGATGGTTGGTTCTGGAACATTCCAGGGGATGGAAGATTCTGGAACACTTTGGGAGATGTTGAGAATGGAAGTTTCCACAAGTTTCCAAGAGACATTAAGAACAGAAGGTTCTAGAAGATTCCCGGAGGTGTTGAGGCTCGATGGTTCTGGAATATTCCAGGAGACATTGTGCATGGAAGGTACCAGACCATTCCAGGATATATTGAACATGGAAGGTTCCAGAAGATTTCTGGCGACATTGAGGATGGATGGTTCTGGAACATTCTCTGATGGTGATCCCATCCCCTGTGAAATGTTGGGGATGGAAGGTTCCAGAAGGTTTCTGGCGACATTGAGGATGGATGGTTCTGGAACATACCAGGGGATGGAAGATTCTGGAACACTTTGGGAGATGTTAAGAATGGAAGTTTCCACAAGTTTCCAAGAGACATTAAGAACAGAAGGTTCTAGAAGATTCCCGGAGGTGTTGAGGCTCGATGGTTCTGGAATATTCCAGGAGACATTGTGCATGGAAGGTACTAGACCATTCCAGGATATATTGAACATGGAAGGTTCCAGAAGATTTCTGGCGACATTGAGGATGGATGGTTCTGGAACATTCTCTGATGGTGATCCCATCCCCTGTGAAATGTTGGGGATGGAAGGTTCCAGAAGGTTCTGGGAGACATTGAGGGCAGGAGTTTCAGGAACATTCCAGGAGTCATTGCGGATTGAAGATTTCAGAACATTCCAGGACATATTGAACATGGAAGATTCCAGAATGTTCCCAGAGATATTGAAGGTGGAAATTTCTGGAACATTCTGGGAGACATTGTGCATGGAAGGTACCAGACCATTCCAGGATATACTGAACATGGAAGGTTCCAGAAGATTTCTGGCGACATTGAGGATGGTTGGTTCTGGAACATTCTCTGATGGTGATCCTATCCCCTGGGAAATATTGGAGATGGAAGGTTCCAGAAGGTTCTGGGAGACATTGAGGGCAGGAGTTTCAGGAACATTCCAGGAGTCATTGCGGATTGAAGATTTCAGAACATTCCAGGACATATTGAACATGGAAGATTCCAGAATGTTCCCAGAGATATTGAAGGCAGTAATTTCTGGAACATTCTGGGAGACATTGTGGATGGAAGATTTCAGAACATTCCAGGATATGCTGAACATGGAATGTTCCAGAAGGTTCCAAGAGACACTGAGGATGGATGGTTCTGAAACATTCTCTGATGGTGATCCCATTCCCTGGGAAATATTGGGGATGGAAGGATCCATAGCATTCTGGGAGACTTTGACTATAGAAGGTTCTGGAACATTCTGAAATATTCCAATTGGAGGTTGTGTGGACAGAGGGGTGGGGCCTTCTGGGTGTGTTTGGGTCCATGTGACAGGTGATTGGTGACTGTCAACATGCCAGTCATCCTGTTGGGCAGGTAACCAAATGTTGGGGAATGAGAACAGAAGTTCCTGGGTGTCAAGGCTGGGATGCAAAGATCTGGCCATTTCTGGTTCTGCCTGGCTCCAGAAAGCACTCGAGCTCATAGCTGGTTGCAGCCAGTTCCAGGGCCCAGCTTTTTTCATCCATTTTGGTTCAAACAGGTTCCAGGATGTAACTGGCTTAGTCATAACTGGTTCTGGTTGGATCCAGGTTGTATATGATCTTGTCATACTGACTTCCAACTGGTTCCAGGATGTAGCTTCCAGAACATCCCAGGCTTCACTTGTGTCTGCTTGTCCTGGTTCTATCCACAGCACGGCTGCTTCCATGGAACGCTGGATGGCTTGTCTATATGTTTCTGGAACTTTCTGTGGTTGAACAGGTTCCAGGATTTTCCATGGCACAGAAGTTTCTGGAAGTAATTGAGTGTTTTCCACTTGAGACATTTCCAGAATATTCTGCAGTTGGGATGTTTCCACAATTTTCCACAATTGGATGGCTTCCATTTCAGAAATTTCAAGAATTTTCCAGGGTTCAGAAGTTTCTGGAACTTTCCATGATTTAACAGTTCCTCCTTGAGATGTTTCTGAACTGTTCCATGGCTTAGAAGTTTCCAGAATATTCCACAGATGGACAACTTGCTCAGACATTTCTGGAATTTTCTGTGGTGGAACAGTTCCCACTTCAAATGTCTCCAGAAATTTCCATGGGGAAATGAAATCCACATAAGTTTCTGGAACTTTCCACAGTTGAATGAGGCCTAGTTTGGATGTTTCCAGAAATTTCCATGGATGGATGTTTCCCACCTTAGGTGTTTCTGGAACTTTCCACAGATGGACAGTTTCCACTTGAGACATTTCTGGATTGTACCACAGTTTAGAAGTTTCCAGACTTCTCCACAGTTGAGTGACTTGTTCAGAAATTTCTAAAATGTTCGATGGTCCAACAGTTGCCACTTGATGTGTTCCTGGAATGTTGGACAAATGAATAGGACCCATTTCAGAAGTTTCTGGAACTTGGAATGGTTCAGATATTTCCAGAACTTTCCATAGGTGAATGGTTCCCACTTGAAAACTTTCTAGAATTTTCCACAATTTAGTGTTTCCCACAACAGAAGTTTCCAGAATTTTCTCTGACTCAGAAATTTCTAGAATTTTCCCTGGTTGACTAAGACTCATTTGAGATATTTCCAGATTATTCCACAGATGGACTGCTTGTTTAGATGTTTCTGCAATTTTCTGTGGTAGAATGGTTCCCACTTCAACTGTTTCTGGAACTTCCCACAGGGGCATGGTGCCCAGTTTGGATGTTTCCAGAACTTTCCATGAATAGATGGCTCTCACCTCAGATGTTTCTGGAATGTTCCACTGTTGGATGATCCCCAATTCAGAGGTTTCCAACACTTTCCATGGTTGAATGATTCCCACTTGAGGCATTTGTGGAATCTTTTGTGTTTTAGAAATTTCCAGAACTTTCCACAGCTGAGTGGCTCGTTCAGAAGTTTCTAAAATGTTTGGTGGTCCAACAGTTTCTGTTTGATGTGCTTCTGGAATCTCCCACAGATGGGCAGAACCCATTTGAGAAGTTTCTGGAACTTTGAATGGTTCAGATATTTCTACAATTTTCCACAGGAGAATGGATCCTATTTGAGAAGTTTCCAGAATGTTCCATGATTGAACAGGTCCCATTCGAGATGTTCCCAGAATTTTCCATGGTTCAGAAGTTTCTGGAATTTTCCATGATTGAACAGCTCCGATTTGAGGAGTTTTTAAATGTTTTTGCAGTTGAGAGGTTCCCAACTCAGTTGTTTTTAGAACATTCCACAGATGGATGGTTCCCAGTTCAGAAGTTTCCAAATCTTTCTGTGGTGGAGTAGTTCCCACTGGAGATATTTCTGAAATGCTCCATGACTGATCAGTTTCTGGGGTTTTCCACAGACCAATGACTGGTTTAGAAGTTTCTAGAATTTTCCATACTGAAATGGTTCCGACTTGAAAACTTTCTAGAATTTTCCATAATTTAGTGCTTCCCATTACAGAAGTTTCGAGAATTTTCTCTGGTTCAGAAACTTCTAGAATTTCCCATGGTTGAATGAGACTCACTTGAGATGTTTCCAGATTATTCAACTGATGGATAGTTTGTTTGGATGTTTCTGCAATTTTCTGTGGTGGAACAGTTCCCACTTCAGATGTTTCTGGAACTTTCCCCAGGGGAACAAAGCCCACATCAGAAGTTTCTGGAATGTTCCACAGTTGAATGGGACCCAGGTAGGACATTTCTGGAATTTTCCAAGGATGGATGGTTCCCACGTCAGAAATTTCCAGAGTTTTCTGCTGCTCAACATGATCCACTTGAGATGTGTCCAAAATTTTCCACAGTTCAGAATTTGCTAGCAATTTCCACAGTTGAATAGTTCCAGTTTCAGAAGTTTCTAGAATCTTCCATGGTTGAATGGCTCTCACTTTGGATGTTTCTGGAACTCCCCATGGCTGCAAAGTTTCTGACATGTTCCACAGATGGACTTTTCCCATGTCAGACATTTCTAGGATTTTCCATGGCTGAACAATAGATGTTTCCAGAACTTCCCACGGAAGGATGCCTTGTTCAGACATGTCTAGAATTTTCCAAGGTTGGGCAGTTCCCACCTCATAAGCTTCTAAAATTTTTGATGATTGAACAATTTGAGATGTTTCCATGCTTTTCCACAGCTGGATGGCTTGCTCATCAGTTTCTAGAATTTTCCATGGTTCAAGGGGTTCCACTTCAGATGTTTCCAGAACCTGCCAAGGTTGGAGAGCTTCTGGGATTTCCTGTGCCGGAACACTCTCTGACTGAATCCAGAACGAGGAGTGACCGAATGCCGGGTGCTCCCAGGCCAGCACCAACTCTGGGCTGTTCCAGGGAGGAATTAGCTCTGTCTCCATTTGGGTCCTCGGTTGACTCCAACTTTCAGTCTGGGTTCGGGATCTAATGACATGAGCTAGTACCCGTGTCCAAGACTGGGTTTTTCTGGTTTTCATGGAAGTGACTATTGTATGCTTTGCCAAGGTGGCAGTTGGATCCATTTCTAAGGGGACAATTGTGTCTGTTGTCAGGGTGACTGCTGGGTCTGTGGCCAAGTCGGCCCAGCTGGAGAGGACCTGCACCGGGTCACTCCAGGTCCCCAAGGATG